TGTAATGGTTAAGTTCTATATTAAAACTCACTGCTAAGAGTAACAGAGGTGATAACCAGCATATCAACTGAAGGTTGGCTGTATTTGAAGACACTACTAGAGGATGTTCAGTTAATTTTAAACATCATTTTCATTAGATACTCAAGCATAGAGAACTAATGGACCCCAGCTTAGTTGACTAATTGCATGGCCTTAGACAAAAAGCTTAAACATCTCTAAGACTTCTCTACTTCTTTAGGTGAAAAACCTGTCTACGTAAGTTGTACAAAAATGAAAAGAGCCTGTTACAACTCTGTATATGTTCTTCCATGGTATTTCAGTAATATAATTATCTTTCATGATATTTCAATAATATAATTATGAACAATTGTATTACCTGCTCTCAATCATGTATCAGTACTATACATTATATGATTATATTGGTAGTTTATAATATTAATAGTATAATAACATATCGTAATATATCAATAAATAACACTAATAAGGAAATTACGTAATAATTATGTAATACTTTTGTGATAATTATGTAATAAGACTAAGTTTTGTAATACTATGATTTCTTAATTAAAGTAATGTTTTTAATTACATATTATTGTTTGTGTATTTTATATTGGTTTATATATTAATATATTTATCACTGTATAATATACACATATTAACAGATATAGGATCTCATATTAATATTCAATAAGTGAGCATAAGTGATATTACCATTATCAATAAATATTAAATGTAGAAGCAGTTTACCTTGAGCATACTTCTGCAATACTTTTCCTGGTTATCGTTCTGTTTTATGAGTAAATTCAAACTGAGTTGGTCAATAAATACAAAATAATACATGTGATTGTTAAGTTCCTTTCATATTCCACTCTAGAAATCAATCATTGACTGCATGTCAGAAGATGGTTACAAGTTGGATCGCATCAAGGGTGAAATCGAATTCCATAATGTGACCTTCTACTACCCATCCAGACCGGATGTGAAGGTAAGTGCCAATCTTTACTCCAGAAACAATGGCATTTTCTTCTTTGTAATTCATTTATAGACCAATATTTTTTTCTTTTTTGAAGTATGATTCAGTTTCCAGGAACAAGGAAGATAAGCACGTTTCTCTGGAAGTATCCTTGTGTGTCGAGTAATTTCTTAGGCAACAAACCACATTCCTTTGTGATAACCATGTTTAAATCCCTCTGGTGGGAACACAGTGTGTCAGTACATTCAGGTTAAGTCAGCTGTATGAGCTGCTGTTGAAATGAGTGGCAGGTCCTGTCATCATGGGCACATGCTAAATAAACTTCCAGGCAATAGAACAATCTAGCACAGTGCTGGCAGCTACCTCCTCAGAGACTGCGGGAGGTGCACCTGAGTACATAGCAACTGCCAGCCCAAGGAATCTGTCTCTGTAGTTTTTTTTTTGACTTCCCGTCTGTAAGGTCACAGGGGTCACTGAGTCAGTTTTCAGAGGAAAGGTGATCTAGTGACACTTGTACTCCCTGTCCTGTATGGGTGATTTTCCAGGCACACATAAGATTTCCCTGCACACGTTGAGCAAGGAGCTCTAAAATCAGAATGTACTCCTCTTGAATGAACTGACTTTGAAATGAGACTTATTCTTCATTTTCAATTGAGTATTTGTAGCTGTAACTAATATTTCAGTTAAATCAACCTAGAACTAATTCCAGTGCAATTTAATTTTGACATTATGCACCTATGCCATATGGGGTCAAGATTCTAGATAACAATCATACATATGCTGGATGTACATGTTAAATTCTGATTACATTTTAATGTATTTTTATTCATGTTATATATAACATGTACTTAAACATTAAATGGCATAACACAGTGTTTTGTAAAATATAAACCACAAGGTAGTACTCACTCAGTAAAGATTTTCAAGGGATGTCTAAAAACTTCCTTTAATGTATCTGTTCAGAACCAGCTCATAATAGCTTCTCAACAAATCCTGTTTGAATTAAAACATACTTGTTTCTGTTATGTCTTCTATCCCTAATATCAAGTTTGTTTTATAAAATCTTCCAACTTAGACCCCCAAATATTCTTCATTCATACTCTGAGTATGTAGGTAGCCCTGCTGGGCTTTACATTATTGGGGCTTGGATGATAACAGGCACACTGATGCCTGCTGACCCCAGGGAAGTGTACACCCAGCACAGCCCAAGAGGAAATATATTTGTAAGTCCAACTCTCCAGTGAGAAATGAAACACATGTGACATTTTATCACACAGAGCACTCCAAACCACCTTACATAGTAAGTATAAAAATAACCATTGAGGCCCTCCCTGGTGGCGCAGCGGGTTAAAGCACAGCACTGAGAATATAAAGCCACTTCAGCCTGAGTTCAATTCCCGCCTGCCCCGGAGGTGACCACATGGCGTGGCAGACCTCTCCTGACCCGCCCGCTGCGCCCCTCAGCAGTGTACTTCGTTGATCTGCCTGTTCTGCTCCCCACTCTGTCTCTGGTGAAGCCTCTCACCGCCCCTGAGCCTCTGGCCTGTACCCCAGTTCTGTATGTGCAAATAAATAAATCTTTAAAAAAAAAATCACCATTGAATCAGTAAAAAAAAGCTATCAGATGAGTAATAAATTATTTTCTGGTTCTTCCCTCTGTAGACTTCCCAGCACTGGTTACTAATATTTAGTAACCAACGTTTGTCAGATAAAATTATTCAAATAATATGTCCACACAAGTGGCAAGTATATGACAGGTTAGATTTAAATTAGTCCATTGTTAATCTGTCACCAGTAATTGGTGTTGTATTTCTAATTTTAATGGCTTTCCTGACTTAACTAATTGGGATAATCTCCTTGAGGTATCCTAGTATGTCAGATGTTTTTAATATTAGGTTCTGGAACATACTTATAAAAGTTGTAGTGTTTGTGTTCATTTATTTTGTGTTACAACACAGCATTTTGTTGGTTATAGCTATCTGTTAAATAAAGCATGTGCTGAATATTGAAACCTCATCTCAGGCATTGTTACTAAATTGTTGGTTATAGATGGCTGCTGGTGGGTATTGCTTTGGGACCATAAGTAAACACAGAGTGTTTTCACAAAGCATCCTAATGTACAGCCTAATTGTTGGCAACCTGAACATTGTCCTTTTCTACTGCAGATTTTGCATAACCTCAGCATGGTCATTAAATCAGGGGAAATGACAGCCATAGTAGGATCCAGTGGAGCTGGGAAAAGCACAGCACTGCAGCTCATTCAACGATTCTATGACCCCAATAAAGGCATGGTGCGTATTTCCAGAAATCTCTCAATATGTGGGGACAGGAGAGTGCAAGTGGATGTATATTGGTTCAAACAAAGTCCTAGCACACAGAGAGAGCATTCTGACACTGGAATAATTATCTTCATGAATTTGGGGTTCTGTTCTTTAAAGAATAATTTCTCCTTTTATTGTGGTAACATTAAGATACAAACATCAGGAATTGCCACTGTAGGGCACCCACCACCAAATCACCCATAACCCACCACCACAGTGCATTATATTTTCTTCCTTCTTATTCCTATTTCTCTCCCACTTTCTACCCACTTTTGATACTTCAGTTCTGTAGTCAGTTTTCAAGAGTTAGCTTCTAAGATTTATTCTCCATTTCTTACTTTGGTTTCTCTATATCCCACATATTAGTGACATTACTTGGTGTTTATTTTCCTACTTCTGACTTCACTTTAGGTCATCTCTTCTGGTTTTATTATGTCGCTGCAAGTAGCATGAGCTTCTCTTTTTGGATGGCTAATCGTATTCCACTGTGTATATAAAACACTGCTTCTTGATCCACTCATCTGTTCTTTGGGGTACTTAGGTGGTTTCCAGTATCTTGGCTATTGTAAATAGTGCCTCTGTGAACATATGGATGCAGGTTTCTTTCTAATTAGGGAGTTTTGACTGGCTAAACTGGACTAAGTCCTGGTGTGGTGGCCATGTTCAGTGAATAACCAGTCCATTCATTCAGTGTAGATATACTCCAAATAGTATTGCAGCCTCTTCAGTTAACTAACATTTTCATTGTATTTCAGCAAATAATTATTGTTTCCAATAATTACATGACTAAAGTTAACAGAAAAGATTGTGCGTTGCCACTTTAAGAAGTTGGATTTTTTAAATCACAAACTGTCTTTTTCTTGGGTTCATTGGATTATAAATATATACTGCAAGTAAGAAAAAATTAATAAAAGTCACTTATCACATATACTATGTCAAATATTTTATTAAAATGATTATTTTCACAATGACCCACAAGGGTAAATATGCCCATTTTACAAATGAGATTGAGACTTGCCCCAGATTTTTTTTCACATTTTTGCTAGTAGTTAGTTTTATTATCTTGACCTATTTAATGTTTCATTTGTTTTTGAACAGGAAAGTGTTATTTGATGAGCTTAGTCAGAAAGTAAGTTTTATCGTTAGATTTAGAACCAAGATAGGGACCATTACTTATTGTAATGAAAAAGACACTTGCCCTTTAATTCTTCATTGAGGGCTTTCAAATTCCATTTTTAGTCTCAAGTCAAAAGAAAGTAAAAATGTTGAAAGTATGTTAAATAACTGACTCTTTATTGAGGAATTAAAAATAAATCACTTCTGTTCCTGGAACAATCAAATTAAAGTGAGGAATCTTTACCTCATTTGTGTTTCTACAATGAAAATTACTACAACTGTATTTGACTTCATTTATATATTGTCATTGTCACATGGCCAGTCACATTATAAGGGGAACTGTTTCTGTTATAGTTTTGCCAGTTTTTTTCCTCATCATACAGCAAACACAACACCTACCATGACCCAGAACCCTAAGATGTGATGTTGTTCACATGTTCTCCAGGTGACTTTGGATGGCCATGACATTCGTTCTCTTAACATTCAGTGGCTTAGAGCTCAGATTGGGATCGTGGAGCAAGAGCCTGTTCTTTTCTCCACCACCATTGCAGAAAATATTCGCTATGGCAGAGAAGATGCAACCATGGAAGATATAGTACAAGCTGCCAAAGCAGCCAATGCCTACAACTTCATCATGGACCTGCCACAGGTACTTTAAGCCTCTCTTTCTGGGGGGAAACCAAGAAGTCACAGGAGGAGAAAAGATCATATAATAATACACATTGTCTTTTCATTTGGATACTAAATTTTTAAATTCTGATGATCATGTTTTAGTTTCATGAATTTTCCTCTTTTTCTGAAAAGATGTTAATAAATTAAATATTCACTAAGCTGGGTAATATGAAAAATGTTCCCTTTGGCATAGATACAGTTTCCTCGTTCCATCTATTAACCATTTGTCTAAAGAGACAATCAGCTCATCATGTGGCAGTGACTTGTACTGCACTTTTTGTTTGTCATTGTCATTGTTTCTTAGTTTTCTTGTACTTAGGTTGCTAATACTGTAACCTTAGTATTGTACATTCAAAAATTCCTCATTTACATTAATTTTAAACAATGACAACAAAAATTATCTCCATACTGTTACATGGATTTTGTAGTAAATATCCTGCTAAATCAAAAAAGGACCATTTTTATTGTGTGACACACATGGAGTGCCAACTGTTGTGGGCACTGTTCTGCACATCCAAGAATTCATTCAGCCCTCACAACCACCTGCCAGGCAGTTATTATTATTATTACCATCTACAGATGGTGCTGAGAGGTCAAGGTCAAGGTCAGTGGCAGGAGAGATAAGGCTCACAGCGCAGGTGGTCTGCTCCAGAGACTGTGCTTTAGAACACTCCCTATTCACTCTTCAAAAATTGCCTGTATGAAAGAAATGCAGCTGTGAGGATGATATAGTTTAGTGGTTGAAAAGCATGAAGTTTTATAAATCCAAAGTGGGGAGGAAAAGAAAAAAAAAAAACAGGCATGAAGCTTTAGGATCAGAGCATCTTCATACAGATCCTAGCTTCTCTACTGGTGAGCCTTGTGAATTTGGGTAAGTTGCTTTACCCCTCCTTACATCCTACAGTTCCTCATCCATCAGGTGAGATGAGTAGCAGTGCCTTCCTTGTGGGTATCTGTGAGGACTAAACAGGTGATATATGTAAAGAGCTCGTCACGCTTGATATATAGTAGGCACTCAATGCACATGGGTTAGTAAAAACCGAATGCAGTATCCACACTTGATTATGAATTCCAGCTGAGTGGAAGTAATGATGATAAAGCTAGTTTGAGCTTTATTTACCACATAAAGATAGCTTTAACAGTGTGTTTGCTCTGTCATATAACTAGAGAAAAGGGACAAGGCCTGAGATGTACTTAATTCTCTAAAATGAGTTTTGATTAACTTTTACTTTAGTGGAAACAAAGTTGAGACAAAGAAGCATTTATACAGCCCAATAGACCTGGAAATGAGTGGGTAAATCTATCTTGTACATAAATATTGATTAGCCAATAACGTATTTCAGGAAAGGTTATTTCTTTCAGTGAAATTTGGACATGTGAAATTCATGCTTGAGGAGAAAACTAGGAAGGACCTGGCAATAGAGCTCTGTCAGGAACCATCAATTTTCTCCTCTTCATTATTGTGTTATCTTCCTTCTAGAAATTTGACACTCTGGTTGGGGAAGGAGGAGGCCATATGAGCGGTGGCCAGAAACAAAGAATAGCCATTGCAAGAGCACTTGTCCGACACCCCAAGATCCTGCTTTTGGACATGGCCACCTCAGCCTTGGATAATGAGAGCGAAGCCATGGTGCAAGAGGCACTGAGTAAGGTTTGTTGAAGACTGAGTTTCAACCTGTATGGAAATGCTAGTGCTGATGCTGCAGAAAGGCAGGAGGGGAAAGCAGGAGCTAAGAGGACACTGGCCGCTAGTAACACTGCCAGTGTGTCTCATCTCCAAAATACTGGCTGACTACCTTAGTTCCCAGAGTTGAACAGAAAATCACTTCATAGTTATTTGGTTCCCGAAACTGCACATTATAAGATTTCAGTTTTGCTAAGTTGTTTATGTGATTTTCAAATTTTTCCTTATTTGTTTTTAGCTGTTGATTAACAGCAACAACTGGATCAACACGTGATTATGTTTATGGACTTGAGAAAGTATCCTGGTCTTTGCTAATCTTCTTCCAACCCTGGATTTTCCCAGGAACCAAGGCTTTGACTGACTTGTGGATTCTGCAATGACTCGAAGGTCAATGTCAGGGCAGTCTTACAGTCGCATTTAACAGTATTCATTATATGCTTACAGATTCAGCATGACCACACAATCATTTCGGTTGCTCATCGTTTGTCCACGGTTAGAGCTGCAGACATCATTATTGGTTTTGAACATGGTACAGCAGTGGAAAGAGGCACTCATGAAGAACTGTTGGAAAGGAAAGGAGTTTACTTTACTTTAGTGACTTTGCAAAGTCAAGGAGATTCCGCTCATAATGAAGGGGATGTAAAAGGTGTGTGCCTTTCCTATTATGCTTGTTCATTGTATTAATAGTTAACATACATAATGTTTAATGGATTTCTGTGCATTTAGGTGCAGACTGTCCTACCTTTCCCCACAATCCTGGGCAACTATATAGTTCCCCAATATATAGATTATAAAGGAAATGACAGAAGCTGAGGAGTCAAGTCCTTGTCAAGTGAGAGAACTAAAACCCTGGTCTTCAGTGGAGTAACATTCTATTCCAATACCTCCCCTCCACTTTATGACCCCATGCTTCAAATATGAGAAAATTCATAGAGGGTCCTGGGCACAGTAGGTGCCTTTATTGGTTGAGTAAACTAATCAATGATTAGTTTTATGCTTTTTTCACTAATGTAGACAGATGCTTCAAGCCCACGTGTCCCTTTCTCTTTTCCATATGACCTTTCAGATTTGGTTGTTCATTCCAACTTATGTTGACCACCTATTACAAACTTTTTCTACCCTACCCCATCATGAACTCTATTGTGTGTAACTACTGCATACACTAAATACATTTTTATTCTAATAAAGATTTTCTATCAATTTGATGAATCTATCATTGTTTTGCAACTTTTATTGGACTCCCCTTAAGTTTTTAATAAGCATGCTGTAGGTTATCGAATAGCTTATAGACTATGATACAATTCAAAAGATTTGATCCTGCGTAGTATTTTACATTTTTTCATTAGAATGTAGTGGACAAATGCTGTATTCCTTATTGCAATACAGTTAATAGAAAGCCTTAGAGCAGTGATAGTCTAAGCAAACATAATTTTTATTTAAAAAATAGCCTTAATGAACTAGTTTGATTTTATTTAGATTTTTAAAGATTTATTTATTTATGCGTACAGAATTGGGGGACAGGACAGAGGTGCAAGGGCTAGAGGATCCACCAGAGAGCCAGAGTGGAGAGCAGAACAGGCAGATCTACTGAAATACACTGCTGAGGGGATCAGCGGGTGGGTCAGAAGAGTTCTGCCATACCATGTGGGTCATTTCCTCAGTGGGGGCTCAAACTCATGCTGCAGTGGCTGCGATAGCTTCATAGTGCTGTGCTTTAACCCATTATGCCACCAGGAGAGGTTCGAAATAGTTTGATTTTAATGTGCTTCTGCTTATTGTGTCTAATACTAAGAATCACTCATGTTGCATTGAATAGGAAAAGCTGAAACTGAAGATGCTGTACATGAGAGCAAACAGACCTTTAGCAGAGGAAGCTACCAAGCTAGTTTAAGGTAAGCTCAAACCTTGGGACATTTCTAAAGACTGCAGTTATCTTGAGATTCCTCTATAGTTATGGGGTACCACAAGGAGAGCCCTAAGAATAAACTCAGATCTTGTGTAATGTGAATATGCAAATGAATCCTTGGTTCCCAGATTAACATTTCTGTCTCCACTTCACGTGGATTATTTTGTTTAACTTTGGTCTAATTTTATTGGTAGTAGTATCATGATAGTGAATCTATAGGCTTAAGATGTTATTTGTTAGACTTAGAGGGGATTTAAAAAAAAAACAAAAACTGGGTTAAGTTCCCCACACCCAAGCTAACTATGCCTGAAGCATTGTCTAACATTGACATCAAACTCATGCTTTCAACTCTACTCTTTAACCTACCAAGCTGCCATTGAATTACAATTTGACTACGCCCAGCATGAACTACCCCAAATCAAATCATTCCTTACCTAGATGACATAAAAAATGCATTGAAATGTGTTGAAAGAGGATTTCTTTAAAAATGAATTATTTCTTTTTCTTTGGATCAATATCAAGGTATTCGTTTTCAAAACCTATTTTGGGAGTATGCTATTAGTGAGGCTATTAATTCAGCCTTGCATTCTGGTTTAAGAATTCAATAAAATAATTCCTTGAGATATTAAAAGCCTTTTTATTAACCAGACTTATGGTGAACATTGCATAATATATACAGATGTCAAATCATTATTTTGTGCACTTGAAGCTAATATAATGTTATATGTCAGTTATACCTCAATAAAAATATGTATTAAGAAGAATTTTATACAGTAGCATTTGTTTTATTCATGAGAAAATTATTCAAGGTTGTTCCCCCCTTAAGAGATTATTAATAGGCAATGGGAAGACAGCATATTTCTCTAACATTGCCTTAACTATTTCAACATTTGAGACTGTGCTCTTAAGAAAGTCTCTGTTACAAGACTTGCCTATTCAAGAGAGCTAAGTGTTTAATGGAAAGTGGTTGGAGAGGCTTAAAATAAGACATCGGGTAGCTACTCCAAGTAGTTTGAACTATATTAAAAAAAATAGTTCACTGAGTTTATACTGAAGGTGTTTTATTTTTCCTTTTGAGAACAGGTCTATTCAGGAAAATTTGAAGACATGCATTTTTTCTCAATTTGGAAAATAATAAAGCAGTATCTTCAAATTATTAAGTAAAAAATATTAAAATGGCCAAAATTATTAAATAATTTTATAGGTAACTGTTTAATCATTATGTTTAATCATGATTTCCTATTGGAATTAAAAAATTAAATTATATGGGTCATTAGAATCATTACCTGAAGATACCAACAAATTTTTTAAACACAGAGAATGTATAGGTGTCTCTTTTGATCACTAGGTTAAAGGTTGTGAAGAGGTGTATTCTGTGATCAAGTTGGGAAAAAAAGTAATATTTCTTAACTTTTCAGGTGAATAAAATTCCACCCATTCTTAGTAGTTTATTTGCACTTTTTATTTGGACCAGATCACTATTTTTATTATAAACATTACCTATTGGGCCATTCTCACAAATTACATTTTGTTGATTAGAGTGAGAAATTCAGAAATACAATTTACATACAGAAAGTAGCTTTTAACCTCTTGCAGAGAAAGAATTTTGATGAAGAAGGTCTATTAAAAATGTCTCTTATGTGCTATGTATTACAATCATATATATATATATATACACACATATAAACGAAGTGAAATGTTAATTTCTGTTTTATTTTCTTGGATTTTTTTCCTTCCTATTGACTAAATGTGTCTTTCATAATGTATTTAGGTTCAAGAATAATTTAATGAATAACTAATTAATTACTTGAATAATAATGCTGAGAGAGAGGGACATTTATTCCCTAAATTAGCTGTTTTTATGTGTGATAAAAAGTGATTGGCAGCCTCTAGGAGGGAGTGGCAGATGTCATAGGTTCTGAAAAGTGCTGTGACAGAATTTTCAGCCTGGTGTTATGGTGGAGCAGAGTAGTTGCTGGCAGGTAGCAAGGCCCCTGCCTACCACATTACTGCTATGGCCTCATCAGGATAGTCTAGGCTAGAGAGGTGTGCTGATGTGTGTATAGAGGGGGAAGGGTGGAGTGGAGAGAGGGAGAGAGAGCTAAGAAATGTGATAGTAATCCAAGGACACAAGAATACACATCCCTGCTCAGAACTAGGATGTAGTCAACTATATTTTGTCATCCTCCCCTATTCCATATACACCTACCATGGTTTTCAAGACTGTGAGTTTGTTTTTTAGACCCATGAGCTCAGGTATCAGCCCAATCACTCATGCTGCTCTCTCCACACATACTTATTCCTCACACCTTCTGGAGAAGATGCCTTGACTGTAGTCACCTACTCTAAACAAATAACTTATTACTGCAGAGTATCTGGCCAGGCTAGGGGAAACAGAGTGTCCCAGAGGCCAGTGTAGTAGCAGGGAAGAGGTGACGAGTGATTTCATACCTGGTCATAATGAGACGTGGCAAGAGTTTGAACATGCGAGAACAAGAGAGGACTTGAGATAAATGCAGCCTGTTGAACTTGGGTGACTAAGAAGGTGGCAGAGACATCAACAGAACGTGGGAACAAATTAAAATAATTATATTGATGAGTTACTGCCTTCTCAAGAAGGCTAGATGAGCTTATGTAACAGGCAGACATCATGGTAATATTTGTTTTAGTTAATTCTATCAGTATGTAAATGATAGATTTGGGAAGCTCTGAAGCAGACTGCACTGTACCAGCCGAGGTGGAGGTCTCCTCAAGGCTAACATCTATCTACCTCTTTTTATATCATATCACTTCAGATTAGCTGCTTAGATAATGTAGCTTCCCTTCTCTCAAGTCTTCAGCAGTGCCTCTATCGCTTAAAACAGTTTGCAGATCATTAATAACCCAATCCATCCTGGTTTAACCTTTAAAGGGGTTAACTAAATAGTTCAAGGCTGCTTTGTCTTCAGTAAGGCTGGGCCTTGTAGCTGCTCAAAGTAGAGGTAGTTTTTCTCCATTCCTTTCTCAGCTCTATTTTTTTTTTTTTTTTTTTTTTTTTTTTTTTTTTTTTTTTTTTTTTTTTTTTTTTTTTTTTTTTTTTTTTTTTTTAGTTATCTTCGTTTTCCAGGAAGCTTCTTGCCTTGAAGGTCTTAACACAATCACCAGCAGATCCTACTCACTTCCAAATTTACTCCAGGAGAGTAGTCAATGTGCAGAAACTTCAGGGAGAAAACAACCCACACCAATCACTTCCCACATCTGTCCTGTACTAAGCAAATGGAACAAGAGCCATGCCTCCATCACATCCTTTTGTTCACACTGTCCTCCGCATCAGAAATGCTCATCCTTTAGCCCAAGCCTACCTAACTGCCTCTTCCCTGAAGCCTTTCATGCTAACATCAGCCATACATTTTTTTCCCTTTAAATTTCCCTACATGTTTGGTGAAAATGCCTTATAGGACTTACCACTTTCTTTGCTCTAAATTTGGGTATACATGTTATTCTTCTAAAAAATTTTAAGCTCCTTGAGGGAAATCTGATTGGTCAGCTTTGTAATCTTCGACACCTGTAGCAGGTGCCCAGTAAGTCCCTGGATAATGAACAGATGTGTGAATGAGTGATAAATACACTCATGTGTTATATTAGTTAGATTTGCTAACCAAATGTATTTTTAGGGGCTTTATATAGCTGGAGAAAATTTCACGTGAGGCCTTATTTCTTATTACCAGTTCATTTGCATCCAAGTGACATTACACAAAAAATAAACATCAGGGATAAAAGGAGAGAGAGAGAAGGGGGGAGGAAGAGAGAGAGAGAGGGAGAGAGATCAAATCAACAATATAATCTACAACTAAAACGATTGTAGATTTTATTTCCCACAAGGGAGGTAAAGGCCATGAACATTGCCATGGTAACAATGACCAGAACTGTGTGGGATTGAAATGCTTTGAATCTTGGGCTGATTCTTTTTTTTTGAAATAGTGTGACAACTTTGCTCCCCCTTCTTTTCTTCCTCTTTGGGGACACTTTGAAAGCAGGTTTTAGCTTGAGACCCAGAACAACCATCTTGATTCACTTTAGCCTAAAAATAGCTCTGCCCAACCTAGTTAGGAAACTCCCCTACCTGGTTACCATGTGACCTACCAAACATTTCTTTTTATTTGACACGTGTGATGTCAACTTGGACACTTGTGAGTTCTGTCCCAACCTGCCCACAATCTACAGATTCTCATCTTTCTGTTTGTTTACAGAGCTTCCCTCCGGCAACGCTCCAAGTCTCAGCTTTCTTACCTGGCTCATGAGCCTCCATTAGCAGGCGTAGACCATAACTCTACCTACGAAGAAGAAAGAAAGGTCAGGTACCTCCCGCTCGTGGGAGAGTGGGAGAAGTCTCACCCAGAGACTAGTGTATGCCCTTTAACCCTGAGAATATGAGTCTGCACAGGTTTTGCCAGCTGAGTGAGTGGTCATGACACGTGCAGATGTTGAGGACGGTCAAGAGAGAATTTAAGGTGAAGGCAGCAACAATTCAATCATAGCTCTGCTGCCTTCCTCCCTTCTATGTGGCTTGTAGCTCAAATGGCATGGGCCTGACACCAGGCTTTTGTTTAAACTGAATTGAATTATTTAATTAAATTGACTTTGTAAGCCAAAGAAAGTATTTGAAGCCCTTGCTGTTACCTGTTCTGACATTTAGTCATGTGCAGGGTAATTACTATGTTTATGAAAGAACTGTATTTACTAATTAATAGTTTCATATGCAATATAATATAGATTTACTTAGCATGCTTTTGTAGAAAAATGAAAAAAAATTAGTGCAAATCTCTATAAGCCACCTAAAATCTTTTCTCAAAGTCTGTAATAAATTTAACACATTATTGAATAAATAGGCCTGCAACCAAGCCCTGATTAATAACTACGGCAAAGAAAAATGACCTGGTTCTGGATATTGTGTTTGCCTTTAAAAAGAACATTACTAGCTCTGGCACGTTGGTGGTCAGTAAAGAGATCAAAACAGGGAAATCTTGAACTCATTTTTACTCCTTATAAAGAAATTCAGAAGTCTGAATAGATTGCCATTTACTCCTGGGTTCTAATTAAGAAAAACTTTACAGGCAAAATATGTAGTGTGCTCTTACTGTTGACATCACTTACTACATTTCAAACATCATTTTGCCTTGTTTTAATACATTGGACTGCCTCAGAGCTTTCAGCAGTTATTAGTTTTGAGAGCTTTGACATTTATCAAGGACATACCTTGAAAATTTCACATCCTTGATTTTTTTAATTGGAGAGTTCTTTTTCCCAAAGATCCAACATATTTGTTGCAATGATGAAAGGAGTCCCCTCCAGATGAGGGGGACTCTGGGCTCTGTGTCCAGCAACTCAAAACAATTCCTCACAAAATAATAGGTCACTGTCTCTTCAGACCTTTCAGGCCACAGGTAACTAACCAAACCATGATTCATCAATCTGTGAATGTCAAAAAGCCTGCTGCAAGTAAACAAACAAACAAAAAAGACAAAGTGTCTATGTGTACCTGTTGTGTGATTAATGAGACCATCTCTCCCCTCAAGGGCAAGGACTTCCCTGAGGAAGAAGAAATTGAACCTGCCCCAATGAGGAGGATTCTGAAGCTCAATGCTCCAGAATGGCCCTACATGCTGGTAGGGTCTGTGGGTGCAGCCATCAATGGGACAGTCACTCCCCTCTATGCCTTTTTATTCAGTGAGATTCTTGGGGTAAGCAGAGAGCTGCCTTCACTTTATTCTCCTCATACTTTTTGTTTATCTCTCCTCTCAGTGGATACTGTAGCTTCTGATGTGTTGGCTGTTTTAATGTATTTAGTGTTTTTTTTGTTGTTGTTAACTCTTTTTCCACATCTCGGTGTGTCTTCATCACACAGAAGGCAAGAAGGCAAACTAAGCAATTTTTGAGTTGGCAGGACACGTATATAGTCATTGTGTCTGAAAAAATCCCATTCTGTGGCTGCATTAGGAGGGTAATTTACCTCAATGCAAACCAAATCAAAACACAAAGTAGGTTTTTGAATTATACAAAAGGATGGCAGGGTCATTTTGATCTTGCTGAACAGATGACAGACAAAATTTGGCTTATAACAAGTGGTAGTACCTATTATATAATTTTCGGTTCTGCTGACTGCACCACTGAAATGCGGAACTGGAAAGAAAACAGGAAAAGGGAAGTAAAATAAGGAAAATTCCAAGGTATTTTGATATTTTCCATCTGACTTTATTGCTATAAAAATAGTAAAGCTTTAGTGTTACCTAAGCACTTCTTATATAATAGTTCACTAAACTTGCCTAATAACCATCTAAGGTGGGTATTCTTATTGTTCTCATTTTGCAAAGGAGGACACTAAGGCATAAGGAACTTAGTGTGACAGATGGTGGGTCTAGAGTTCCAAACAGCGGAGCCAGACTCCAATAAAAGCTTATCACTGCAAGATGTGTTACCTAAATCGTGTTTTCATAGTTGAAATTTCCATACTCAGACCACAAGTCCTATGAGGTCAACAAGGAGGAAACATAGAATATAGAAATCTATACTGACCTACTCAAGGTGACACAGGCATTAGGTGGTAAGGCCCAAGAAGTTTTTATTGAAGCCTCATCTCCAAAAAGGATTTCCCAGCACACCACACTGTCCGAAGAGTAAGTAAGAGCCCAAAGTTTTAGTTTTCCCATCTACTGTGGCTTTCAGCCTCACTGAAAGAAGTCCTGAAAAAAAAAAAAGTCCTTATAAATATGAATTCTATAGACAGACCTGGATAATAAGATAATAAGCAAATGCCAGTCGACTGACTGGGGAGGGCCTGGGCCAAGATGCAGAAGTTTCATACTGCCCCCTGGTGGTTAGTGAAGAAACGGTGCTAATTTCAGGGAGAAAACTGTAAATATTGGGACCTTCCAAGCTGGTAGACTTAATTTCTGGTTATGTGGAGAACTTTCTGCTAAAAATATTTTAAATTATTAATTTACATTCCTCAATGCCTAGAAAGTACAGTACCCCAAATTTAATTGAAATTTTCTTTCATTCACTGCAATCAATTTTGGTTGACAATTTCCCTCAACCCTGTGCTATGGTCTCTGGAATGAATGAAGTCATGGTGCCTTCCCTAAAGGGGTTCCCAGTCTCTGAGGAAGACAGACATGAGGCAGAAAAACCCAATCATCTTCAGAAAATGTTTATTGATCTCTTATTATTTGCCAAATATTGTTGCTGGTTTTGAGAATAAAATGGGGGACAAGAAAATCAGAGCCTCCTCCTGCTGCCATAAAGCTGACATTTGAATAGGGTGAGGCTCTGGGAGTGTGTGTACTGAGCAGTGGTATAGTTGTAGAAGTCGAAGGGGAGAGGGCTGATTCTATATAGGAAAACTACACCCCAAGTTTTAACTTTTAAAAGAAACCCAGATTATTAGCTTTTTTGCCCATCATTTCTAAAAGCAGGGGAGAAAGTAACTAAACCTTGTGTGTGAACGGCTGTGGAGAGTCCTGGATTCCCCCGCAGGAAACTGTTTTTCTGAAACTGGCTCTTTTAGTTATTTACCAGCTGCTGTATGCTTTGAGACTATATTCTGATACTTCTCTGGATGTTGTTTCCTCAATAACCTCAGTCTCAGATGGATAGAGTATGTTTGCTCTCCTAAGCCAATTGCAGTTAATGCTTTGATAGTTGCTTTTTTCCCCTTTTTAAAAAATGTAATAGTTTATTTTTACATCATTTTGTACATTTTTTTCATCTCAGTTGTAATCCTTGTGGGTTTCCCATCACCCAGTCACCCGTGTGCCATCACCACAGTCCCGTGCACTTCCCTAACCCCACTGTTTTTGATCTCATTCCCCACTCCACAATAGTTGCTTTTTAAATGATGTATTTATTTGTTCTGTATATAACCTGGAGAGCTAATAACTGGCAATGTATCTGAGTGTGAAAATCATCTTTATTGCATCTATTATTTGGGAAAGACAGAAGTCATCACAATACTTTGAATATTCTCTCAGATTATAGTCTCAGATCTTCCTTCCTTCCTTCCTTCCATCTTCTTTCTTTCTACTTTTCCCTCCCTCCATTTTTCTTTACCTTATTACATAAGGATTTAAAGGATTTCATCATATTTTTCATCTATATCAAAGAAAAGACCACATAATTGTCTATATCAGCCCAAGAAAGAAGACAAACGAAAAGTCATGACCATTGATTTTTATTCACGAGGCTTTCTTCTCCACAGGAAATTAAAGTACATCTATTCAGCGTTAACATTGGTTACATTATTAGTATGTTTAAAGTAACATTGGCTTTAGGCCAATGCTGAAGATAATTTTCTTTTAAACAATTTGCATTTATTTCTTTTGCTGTTGTTTGTAATAATAACATGCCTTCCTTGCTTACTATCTTGCCAAGACTTTTTCACATCCTGATAAGGAAGAACAGAGGTCACAGATCAATGCTGTGTGTCTGCTCTTTGTAGCTCTGGGCTGCATATCCCTTTGTACTCAATTTCTGCAGGTAAGGAATTTTATTTTCAGACAGTGATTTAGCTACTTCCCTTCATTTCGTGATAAAAGATTACTAAAGAGTCTTTTACATTGCAGGGGTATGCTTTTGCTAAATCTGGAGAACTCCTAACAAAAAGGCTACGCAAATATGGTTTCAGAGCAATACTAGGGCAAGACATAGGGTGGTTTGATGACTCCAAAAATAGCCCTGGAGCACTGACAACAAGGCTTGCTACAGATGCTTCCCAAGTTCAAGGGGTAAGTGTCAGGAGGAGCCTCATCTATGTTAACTGGATTGGACATTCATTCCTTTGAGTGCATGATCACCTGTGTGCTTTCTGTGGAGTAGGAATGTTTGGGGTTGGGATATCTCAGAGACAACTTTGACCATTTCTAATGCTAGCCAGAGCAGAGACAGCAGTGTCTCCTAGGTAGCGCCCAGAAACAGTGTTCCTACAACAGTTGATTTTGTCTGGGTTTGGCGTGCCTCTGAATATTGCCACTGAGAATGTCTCCAAGACTTACTCCTCAGATTTACAGACCAAGAGGCTTAGATCACACAAAATGTAATAAAAGGTGGGAACAAAAAGATCGTACAGAAAAAGCCTCCTTACACAGGTGTCCAAGGTGCAGTTAGTCTTAGGAAAAGAGGGGCTGATCTACACAGCCTTGATTAGAACCCCAGTGAGTAAATGAGGAAAAGAAATGAGTGACTGCTATTAAAAATCTGGAAACATTCAAAGAACTGTCTTTCTGCCTAAGGGAGATAAACCCATAGTGTCTGAACTCCAGAACCTGCAGCATCATCTAGAGGATCTATATACACATGAAATGAAAGTACATTCTTATAAAGTCAGCAATTAGGGTTAAAGTGACCAGGTCACATTTACCTCCCCACAGCACTTCTTTGAAGGAGAAGAAAAGCAAAGTAACAATAAAAAGAAAGCCACTGGCTTGTTTGTAAGACTCTTGGAAGAAAAATATTAAAATATTGAGTGATAGGGAAACACTAACTTTTTTTTCATGTCTTTCTTGTGTGTCTCTTACTTTCACAACGAACCTTCACTTCTAATATTTAAGACCTCAGAATGGGTGTTTAATTCCCATGCCAAATCTTTTTTTCTGAGATACCAGCTGGTTGTCCTACAATTCAACAAAATTCTGGCACTATTTTCCAGAAGATGGCATCAGATTCCACAATTAGGTGTTCTGTCCCACAAGACTGCCCACACCCCTACTCCAGATGATGATTGAAAGTCTAGAATTCACCTGTGCTTCTGCCCCACCAGCTGTACATTTGGGATTACCCTGAACTGTCTTGGATTCATGAGATCCAGGAACCGCTAGAGCAGCACACAGAATTCAAGAAAACAATTCTTTAACATTGACTGATTTATTACAAAAGGATATGATAAAGGTTGTGATAAGCAGTTCCCTTACATTGCTTTATTGTAGAAGGATATGATAAAGAGCACAGGGGAACATTCATATGGAAGAGATGAGTAAGGCCAGGGGTGTAGAAAGGGTGCCCTCTCTGGCACACAGCTCAGCCCATGCTACCACGAGTCTGAAAGCTTGCTGAATCTCACCCTATTGGAGTTGCTTCTGAGGCTTCATCACCAAAGCTTGAGGGCCATGAATTCCATTTTCAGTGCTTCTCCTTTTTTAAGAGAATAGTGGGCCTGAAAACTCCAGGCTTCTAATTATAACCTGATCTTCCCAGGGACCAGACCACTAAAAACCCACCCAGAGTTGCCTCATTAGAACAAGACACTTCAAATACCAGGACTTACAAGGGTTTCAGGAGCCCTGTGTGAGGAACCACATTTTCTCTATTATTGCAGAATCCTACAAGAATATTTTCTTTGTAAATATGTGTTTTCTGAAGATTTTTAGTTATACTTTATCCATTCTATTATAATCCTTTTCTCCTTAAAAACACTTTATATGGGCCCCCCTGGTGGCGCAGCGGGTTAAAAGCACAGCACTGAGAATCTAAAGCCGCTTCCGCATGAGTTCGATTCCCGCCTGCCCCGGAGGTGACCACATGGCGTGGCAGACCTCTCCTGACCCGCCCGCTGCTCCCCTCAGCAGTGTACTTCCATGATCTGCCTGTTCTGCTCCCCACTCTGTCTCTGGTGAAGCCTCTCACCCTCCGCAACTCTGGCCTGTCCCCCAGCTCTGTATGAATAAATAAATAAATCTTTAAAAAAAAAAAAACACTTTATATGAGCATATTTTGGTCATGTATTCTTCTACAATTGATTTCTACATACTGCGTAATATATTATCTTCATGAACTTAAAGAACTCCCTAATTTTTTCCCTTATAAGAAATTTACTTTACATCATTTGCATATCTTTGATTCCTTCTTTAACTCTGAAAATGTAATCACTGGATCAAATGTATAATAATTTTGAAAGATCCTAATGTGCATTTTCTTGCTGCTTAAAGAAAGAGTGCCAATTTCACTCTCATATCTGAATATTCTAGTGTCTAACTCACCTTATTCTTAGGATAAGTAAACCATGATCTTATTTATTTATTTATTTATTTATTTTGCTCTTCCCAGTGCAGGGGAGTTTTTTTTTTTTTTAAGATTTATTTATTTATGCATACAGATATGGGTTACAGGCCAGAGGTGCAGGGGCAGTGAGACGATTCACCAGAGACAGAGTGGGGAGCAAAACAGGCAGATCAATGAAGTACACTGCTGAGGGGAGCAGCAGGCAGGTCAGGAGAGGTCTGCTGCGCCATGTGGGTCACCTCTGGGGCGGGGATTGAACTCATGCTGAAATAGCTTCAGCTTCTTAGTGCTGTGCTTTAACCTGCTGCACCACCAGGGAGGGCCACAGGGACTTATTAAAGGCTATTCACAATCACTAGAATTCATACAATAACATCTAATCATCTTAAAATATTTTTATGCATCCTTTAAAAAGGATTCTATGAATTTTCCTACTGTTTTCATTTTTTTTTTTTAAATCAGACTGCTAACCCAGATCAAGTTTATTTTAATATTGGTATAGTGTAAAAATTTGGGCCCTCCCTGCTGGCACAGCAGGTTAAAGCACAGAACAAAGAAGCTTAAGCCACTTCCGCATGAGTTTGATCCCCGCCTGCCCCGGAGGTGACCACATGGTGAGGCAGACCTCTCCTGACCCGCCCGCTGCTCCCCTCAGCAGTGTACTTCGTCGATCTGCCTGTTCTGCACCGCGCTCTGTCTCTGGTGAATCCTCTCACCCTCCGCATCTCTGGCCTGTACCCCAGTTCTGTAAGAATAAATAAATCTTAAAAAAATTTTTTTGGCTCCCCCCTCCCAATTTGGGCAAAAGATACTTGAAAAATAAAATACAGTTTCCATTTTCCACTGATGTGATATTCTCCCAGCCATTGTGAATATTAACTTCTTGCATATACTTGAAACTATCTGTAGACTGTATTCTTTATTGATAAATGCTACACTGTGGGTGGATATTGAAAACATTACATTTAGTAGAATAAGCTAGACACAGAAAGACAACTATTGTATGATTCCACTTATATGAAGTACCTATAGTAGGCAAAATTGAAGAGACAGAGTGTTACTGTCAAAGGCTAGGGACAGATAGGAAGAGGAGTTATTATTTAATGAGTACAGCTTTATGGGCGATGATAAAAAGGTTTGTTGATCAGGTGTGATGCTTATATCAGTTCAGCTGTATTAGTGTCACTGACAATGACATTGATATGGTATGTAATTTTATCATTATAATTTTTTTTAGAAATCCATCTTTTTAGTAACCTTTCACATCATGGTAAAAATGACTGTGCCTAAGGTCATGTGATTATTTTTGGTTTTCAGGCTGCTGGCTCTCAAATCGGGATGATAGTCAATTCCATCACTAACATCACTGTGGCCATGATCATCGCCTTCTTCTTTAGCTGGAAGCTCAGCCTGGTCATAGTGTGCTTCTTCCCCTTCTTGGCCTTATCAGGAGCTGTCCAGACCAGAATGTTGACAGGATTTGCCTCTCAAGACAAGGAGGCCCTGGAGGTTGCAGGGCAGGTAATCTTATAGACCCTGTTTTCACAGTGCTGATGGCTGAGTGGCTGTCAGACAGCTGTGAAGAATGAGCAGGAAAGAGAGACTTAGGACGCTGTGAACCCACAAACACTCATTTTTAGAAAACTCCCATCAGCGCTTTTCATATGTGTCTCAACATAAAGATGGTGATAATAAAGCTCTAATTCTGCTATGAGTTGGAGCAGGTATAGACAAATGGTAAGTTGAGCAGAGAGTTACACATTCAATTGCCCTTCAAATGGTTAATTTTTCTACATTACAATTTAGTGTAGTCTCATTCATGAGCATGCCTAGTTTTTGGTCTTGTCCATTTTTTCAGCTTAATGGTCTGCCCAGTTCATGGTATGCATGCAGAGTGGAGTGATCTACTCTTTTCAGTGTCTGCAAGGCTTGTGGTAAATGTCTTTCCTGAACAGAACCAGGAGATAAAGTTTAGGTCTCAAATACACTTAGGTGTTAGCTATATATATATATATATATTTTTTTTTAAAGATTTATTTATTTATTCATATTGAACTGGGGTACAGGCCAGAGATGCAGAGGGTGAGAGGATTCACCAGAGACAGAGTGGGGAGCAGAACAGGCAGATCAACAAAGTACACTGCTGAGGGGAGCAGCGGGCGGGCCAGGAGAGGTCTGCCACGCCATGTGGTCTCCTCCGGGGCAGGCGGGGATCAAACTCATGCGGAAGCGGCTTTAGCTTCTTGGTGCTGTGCTTTAACCCGCTGTGCCACCAGGGAGGGCCCGTTAGCTGTATATTTTTAAGTGTGTTCTGTTTAGTACCTGGAATAAATGAGAGGATGTGGCAATGGCATTATTTAGGTATAGGAAACCAAGCACACACTTGCTTTTTTAACAAGTTTGCCATAAGCTAGGTTTTGTCTCTGTAAAGAAGAGAATGTAAGCAAGTAGGCAGAAGTTAAAAGGATTTTGAATGCTAGTGATAGAATGTAGTTCACTTTTGTGGCTCTTTAAGGATGGAAACTTGATTCAGGAACAATGGTTATTTATCCTAGTATAGGGATTGAAACAAAAAAAAATCCATCCTATAAGCCAAGAGATAAACTGTATATCTAATTTTATCTTTTATTTGAACATAAAGGTTTTGAGGAAGTAGAATCTGATATTAACTACCTCATTTATTAAATAATCTTATATCTGAGAAGACATCTAAAGGTACCATTTTATTGTTTAATTTGTTTTTCATTCAGGTGACATAGGGTTACAGTACTGCCTGTATTTGAGGGTACAGGTCGACGCCTCTCCATACATGTGTTACCATACCATGCCCACCACCGAAGTGCCAATAACCTTACACTACTGTTCACGGGCCACCCCCCACAAACACACACACACTTTGCTCCCACCTCTACAATTGTCCTCTGATAACTCCAACCATCAGAATCTAGTAGCTTGGTTGTGTTTTGTCCCTTTGCTTTATTCTAAAGTACCATTTTTGACATTTCAAATAAGTTAACAAATTACAAGGTTTTGAGGATTATGCTTTGTACCTTTCTCCATGCCCTTCTCTTTTTCTTCTTTTTAAAAGATTTATTTTATTTAATTATGCATATGAGAACTGGTGTATAGGCCAGAGGAACATGGGGTGAGAGGATTCACCAGAGATAGTGGTGCTCAGAACAGGCAGATCCATTGAGATACATTGCTAAGGGGAGCAGCGGGCAAGATAAGTGGTCTGCTGCACCATGTGGGTCAGCTCCCTGGCTGGGGATCAAACTTAGGCTGTAGTGGCTGGTGATAGTTTGACAGTGCTGAGACCTAACCCCTGCACAACCATGGAGACACCACCTTCTCTTTTCTACAAGTGGAGGAAATGGAGCTATGTTTGTATTAAGTAGAACTTGAGTTTAACTGATGAAATGTCTCATGGTGCAGCTGAGTTGATCTCCAGCACGTTCTTTTTGTTGTCAGAAAATGCTCCCATCTCTGATTCGTACTTCATTCTGCCATTTGCAGTGGATCTAATCCATGCAGTAGTTGAAATGTCACAAAAGTAATTCCATCTACCTTTATTCCTAAGTCTTTTCTTCCTTCTTCAGATTGCAAGTGAAGCGCTGAGTAACATACGCACTGTTGCTGGCATTGGAAAGGAGAGACGGTTTATCGAGGCATTTGAGGCTGAGCTGGAGAAGCCATACAAGACAGCCATTCGAAAAGCCAATATTTATGGATTCTGCTTTGGTTTTTCCCAGTGTATAGCATTTGTTGCTAATTCTGCTTCCTACAGATATGGAGGTTACTTAATCCCTAATGAGGGACTCCATTACAGCTATGTCTTCAGGTGAGAATTCTTCGGCCTACAACGTCAAAATTCTAGGGAGGTGTAGCCAGGTTTAACAGTGAATTTTACTGTTAACAAACCATGCAAAACTTGGGATTTAGTTCTCAGGACTCTGGGTTGCTAGGGGTGTTTCTCTCGGGTCAGCTGACGCTGTTCAGTGGGCTTCTGTCCCCCATGGCGTCTCTGGCAGGTGAGCTTGCTGTCTTCACCTGAGAGGTTCAAGAGCTCAAAGTACAAAAGAGAAGCCCCAACACAAATAGCTTCATCCCTGTGTGCATTATATTCTCTAATACTTCTTTGACCAAAGAAAGCCATACAAGGAAGCCCAGATTAAAGGATAGAGAAAAGGAATCCACCTTTTGATGGTGGATTTCTGTTCTCACTCTACTCTCTCACTCTACTCTCATCTAATACTTCTGACACCAGAGAGCTGCACTACAACTCAACTCAATTTGGATGCTACACACCTGGAGAAAGCATTGGCTCCCACAGGTTACAGACTCAGCCTCCCAGGTGCTCCCCCTTCAGACGTCAATCACAAGTACAGGTGTCACTTGTGCTTCCAATTCACTGGCCTTAGATTAGAGGCTCCTGCAACCTCCTCCTGAGATCCTATTAATTTACATTGGGGCTCACAGAACTCAGAGCAACATTTATGTACTAGATTACTGGCACATTATAAAAGTTTACCGCTTGGAACACCGTATGAAAAGCCACATGGGATAGGTATGTAGGAAGGGATAGACTCCACTCTGAGGGTGCTGCTTTCCCTCTATCTCCACATGTTCACCATCCCAGAAATGCTCCCAATTCCTTCCTTTCTGGTTTTTAGAGGCTTTATTTACACTGGCATGCTTGATTAAATAACTGGCCATTATTGATTGAATTCAATATCCAGTTCCTCTCACCTCCCATAATGTGGAAGAGGAGGATGTGGATAGGATTGAAAGTTCTAATCTTTAACCATCAGATCACAGGGTCAGTTCCCCTGGCAACAAAGCCCCAATCTTTAGTACCTCTACAGTATTTCCAAAATTCACCTATCAACATAAAAAGTAAAAACAGCTTGATAATTCCTAAAGTTTAAAAAATTCCAAGGGTATGAGGATTTTTGTGACTAGTATATAAGTGTTTTTTAAGTCATATATCACAGAGGAGTAAAAAAATCATATTGCACAAAAGTACAGAGTAATAAGATAATTAGCCACTTTTACACTCTACCACACTGGTCAATGCTGAAAAAATATCTACAAGTCTTGAGCAAGATGGTTCACGGAAGTGTCTTACTTGAATTCTACTGTCTTCTCCACAGAGAGTATGTTACCAGCTAACATACCCCAGGTAGAAACAACAAAGGCAGTACAGTGGGTATTATGTTCCTTTCTTATAGCTGGAGTTTGCTTTTCTTAGAAGCACTGAGTCCAGTTTCTCACTTTCCAGAGGAGAAAGCCTGAGTGTGTCAGGTTAACAAGTTGCTGGGTGCATAGGTATATGAATGTGACAGAAGGGGAACAAAATCTCAGAATGGCTTGGAAGGCAAAATGATCCCACAAGAAACCGATTCATCCACCTCCCACCCAAGCAATGAATTCTGCCTTCTTGTCTCCTATTTCCTTCGTCCTATCCAGGCATATCCACCCAATGAAGACAATTTCTTGTCTAAACTTTTGCATATTTATGACTACTAACCCAAATCAGAAATCACAAACTGTTGACACGTTTTGTTTTTGCAGGAATTTTTAAGATGTGAAAATCTGAAAGTTACAGAACACTCCCCGTTTCTGGCTTTTCCTTAAAATTGGAAAGATTGCCTTCACCTATTTCCCATTTATTCTAAATACTATTATCCCTTGAGCACTGGATTGGTTCCTGAAGATTTTTGAGTTTGCAAGTCTGATCTAAAACAATTCCTACTTTTAAACACAGTAGTAAGACATGTCACTGCCCGTAAGCATTGAGCAGGCCCTCTGGGTGGCAAAGCAGGTAAACAGCCTTGGCGGGTGTCCCGCTCCACCTCTGAATTCATTTATTTATTCACTCATTGGTTCATTCATGACACAGATGCTGAGAGTATTCAGAAGCTGGTCAAACAGGAGGGGAAAGCTGACTGCATCTTTCTCATGCTATCTGAAGCGTGAATTACTTGCAAGCTGGTACAGAAATGATGTTTCATTACTAATCATTGTACTTTATACACATATCACAGATTCAAAACATGATCCTTCAAGCATCCCTCATTCCCACCCCCCCTCAGAACTCAGTTTGGTTTTTTTTTTTTTGTCCTTTATTTGAAAGAAATGTTTTAAAGGAGAGGTGATGGTAGTTGAAGCAGGTTTTGGTTCTCTGAGCCCCCACCCCACTCCCTGTGAAACCTCCACTCACTTTTTTTTTTACGGTTTATTTATTGGGCCCTCCCTGGTGTCACAGGGGGTTAAAGCACAGCACTAAGAAGCTAAAGCCACTCAGCATGAGTTCTAACCCTGCCCACCTCTGAGGTGATCCATATGGCACAGCATACCTCTCCTGTCCCGCCCACTGCTCCCCTCAGCAGTGTACTTCGTCGATCTGCCTGTTCTGCTCCCCACTCTGTGTCTGGTGAATCCTGTCACCATCCCTGGACCTGTGGTCTGTACCCCAGTTCTGTATGCATAAATAAATCTTTTTTTTTTTAAGATTTATTTATGCATACAGATGAGTAGTGAAGGGGTGGTGAGAGGATTCATCAGAGAAACAGTGGGGAGCAGAACAGATGATCTACAAAGCACACTGCTGAGGGGAGAGGTGGGAAAGACAGGAGAGGTCTGTTATGCCATGTGGGTCACCTCCCTGGCTGGGGATCAAACTCGCATGGAAGTGGCTGTGGCTAGCATCACAGTGCTACTACGCTTTAACCCACTGTGCCACCAGGGAGGGTTCCCACTCTTTTTTTCCTTAAGACACAATTTGAAAACTGATGATGGCTTTAACTGTCACATTCCCAGACAAGTCTAGAGTGACCTCTTCAAGTGACTTAGTTGTTTCCTAAGGCAGGAGCCCAACCTCCTGCCTCTTACACCATCGTAGCAACCACACCATGCCTGCTTCTACCTGGGTGTCTATCCAATTGCAGGGTGATCTCTTCAGTTATATTGAGCGCGACTGCTCTAGGAAAAGCCTCCTCTTACACCCCGAGTTATGCAAAAGCTAAAATATCAGCTGCACGTTTTTTTCAACTGCTGGACCGCCAACCTCCAATCAGTGTATATAGCAGTGCAGGTGAAAAATGGGTAAGTACTAAGGTGAGGTAGCAGGGAAGCTGGGGAAGGATTATGTTGCTGTACGAGTGTAGGAACAGCCACTATGCTGGTTTTACATTACTCCTTAGCTTCTAAATTCCTATGGTCTATGGGTTACTCATACACAAGCAATAGATCTATAAATGTAAATGAATAAAGTAAACCTGTATTAAAATTATGCATAATGCTGATGTTTGAATCAGACACTGCCATTCAATGAATACTGAATTCTTTATAATATCAAACACAGCTCCAGAATGAAAGAATCTCGATGTCATTTGAGACCTTTTCACTCTCCATGCTTGACACTGATGTTTGGGTATGGAGTGTAGAAAAACCAGTCTTCCTGTTTTATATCAATTTGATCAATGTTTAATCTGAGTTCCAAGTTTAATCATTAGGTCCTATGGATATCCAGAAAATAAATTTTATCTAAAAAATTCTTTATTTCTAATTGATAATCCCCACAGGTGTTTTTAATCTTCTGTGTCTATTTGTTCTTAATATCTTACCATGATCAGGAAAACAAAACAAACCAAAGTCCCACTGAAGCTAAATTCAGAACTCTTTTTAAATTGGTAAAATGACAGGTTTCTCCTTCAGGTCAATAAAGTTAAAATCTCTGTGTGATCTATTAAATGTCTATTCATTTCTAGAATTCCTAGTTCAGACAGCACAACTGAAGATGTTTACTTTTGTGATACAGGCCTCAAATGACTTTCTAAGTAATGTCAAGGATAATGTTATCATTAAGTCTTTGAGAAAATAGACCTATAGGGGTTGGGGCAGTCACTAATCTGTGGTGTTATCATATCTTCTGGTTTTTTGCTTCCACTTAGAATGTCAAGAAATGAATGACAAGGAACCCCTTTGACTAAGAAGCAAATGTCTTTATTGGTCAAGCTTCTCTTCATTCTACACTTGTTAGAATGGGAAATGGAATGCTCTGTCATTGAGTTACTTTTCCTGTACTTTGTACTTTGAAGACAGTCTAAATTCCAGTAGGAACATATGTATAATTCCAATCTTCCCACCTGCAGGACAACTTCCAGGGGAAGATTGACTTTGTGAACTGTAGATTTACATATCCTTCTCGACCAGATACACAAGTTCTGAATGGACTCTCGGTGTCTATTAGTCCGGGACAAACGTTGGCATTTGTTGGAAGCAGTGGATGTGGTAAAAGCACCAGTGTTCAGCTGTTGGAACGTTTCTATGACCCTGACCAAGGGAAGGTGGTAAGCAGTACAAATGCTTTTGAGGATTTTATTTTCTGCAGAATATCTACAAACCCTGAAAGTGGTCTTCAAGGTTGTGCCTTGCCTGATTCTCTGTATAGAGCTTGCCTTGGACACTTTTACAGATATTTTCCAGACTGTCATTTGCTGGTTGACCTGACTCTACCTCATAATTTCATATATCATATTCCTCCCAGTTCCAGATGGTCTGTTGACCAGTTAGGTACCCTTCCAAGCAGGAGCTGAGTGTATTTAACAGAAGTATTTGCTTGCTCATAAATGGAGCAGAAAATGCATATTAATCAAGAACCTAGTGACTGGGAATGGAAAGAATTGGGGGTGAAAGAAAACACAATGATAAATCATCAAGAAAGGAGGTTTAGTATGCAAAAATTGATACAATCCTGGTCCAGTCTAAAAATATAAGTCTAAGTAATACAAGAACTCAAAGTGATCATCATAGGTCATAAAGCTTTGGCAAAGATATTTGAAAAATTGGTGGATTACTTTGTTGCTTATTTTCTATAGCATTTTCCCTCTGATTTTTTCTCCCTTTTCTTTCTTTCAGAGTAGAGGATTTCAAACTAAAATAAGAATGATTTCTAATAAAAAGCAACCCCTCTGCCCCACTCTCCCACCACCCCCATTTCTCTGCTCAAAGACTTATTTTTAGACAAAGACTCAATATCTCTAAATAATATATTTCTGCTACTGTTTCATGATTTAACAAATTTAGACTGTATTTTGACTAATTCGCAAGGGATAAATATTTAAGTTACCCACACCTCTCCCCCTCCTTGTGCCCACTTCCTCCCAATTTAGAGATGTCACTTTAAAGAATTCCTCTACTTATAAGTTTAGCAATGTGCTTTTGTTTCTTTTCTTCTCATATAGATAAGATAGCATCTCTTGAACTTTCCCTTTCTAAATGAGTATTAGCAATTATACCGTCATTTTCTACTTTCAGCTCAAGTCCTAACAATTATACATTTTCATTATCAAGAATAGAAAATCTTACATTCTTATAACATCTATTTTCTTTCATGCTTTTGCTTTGGTTGATCCTAAATGTTGAAAATAAATTAATAATTTCCTTTATGTTTAAATAAATTTGTTCATCCAAGAATCAAGGAATAATATACATTAGCATTACATTTTCATTCTTGGTTGCTTTTATGGGGGCATAAATAGAATTCCTTGAATTCTAGTCTTTATAAAATCTTGACGTTCTTCTAATGTCTCTATTCTACTACCTGTCCTAACAGACCTAACGTCTTTCCTCATTTATTCCACTGTATGGACTAATGGTAACTTGGCCCGCTAAAGACTTGTCACCCTGTGAATTCCTTGCAATGTTTTCTTGGATTGCCTCTATGATTGTATAGTTCCCACATCTTCCTCTTTCTTGGTTTTCACTCTCATTTTGTTGGAGTGCAAGTAGTATTCTAAGAAATGTCTCAGGAATGTAGGTCTGAAAATGTATTCTGCTCTATACTTGATTCATCATTTAATCCTAACACTTTGAAAGTGGACTTTCTGGTTCCTCAAACAGAACTTGTTCTTTGCTGCAACTAAGATAACAGTATGAAAAAAAATGTGAGAGAATTGAAGGAAGCAACTAAAGTTTCGCTTGCAAAAGCAAAGCAAGGAAACAAGCAGACAGATATGGTAGAATACAAGAAATCAGGAAAGTAGGGAGAATTGACTTGATTGCCTATAATTTATAACTGCATCTGTTATTAATTTGAGGTGTAAAGATTTTATTGTTTTGTAACTGATGAACCTAGAAAGCACGTGGATCTGATCTCTCTCTCTCTCTCTCCATATATATATATATATATATATATTAAAAAGAGGGTCCAAGACCCCTGGAGATGTTGTTCTTAAAAAGGCAGCTGTCCTGAATACTGCTGACTCTGGGGTGTGAATTTCCCTCGCTGCTAGAATTCTAAGATGTAATACCCTTTTTGTGACTTCTATTGATAGATGATAGATGGGCACGACAGCAAAAAAGTAAATATCCAATTTCTTCGTTCGAAAATTGGAATTGTTTCCCAGGAACCAATTTTGTTTGCCTGTAGCATAATGGACAATATCAAGTATGGAGATAACACCAAAGAAATTTCCATGGAAAGAGTCATAGAAGCTGCAAAGCAGGCTCAGTTGCATGACTTTGTCATGTCGCTCCCAGAGGTGAGTACTGAGTCAGAGTCATGCCCCATAGGAGACAAGGATGGGGAAAGGTAGGGTAACCAGAAAGTGTTAGGATTATGGCTCAAGGAGAAGATCAAATGCATCATAATTTCTTTTGTTCTGCCCTGTGGTTGTCTATGAAGTCTTAGTCTATTAAGCAAAATAAATGCCCTTCATCACTATGTACTTATATACAGTATATACTTAACATATACTTTGAAAATCATTACACAATTTAGTTTTGGAAACTACTGTGTTATCCAATGTGACAGATGCTATATAATTTGTTTTACATAAAGCAGTACTGTTGCAAGCATTTGTTTAACATAGAGGAAATAATGTCTAAGATTTGGAGCCGACATTGCTTTGAACCCAAACCATGCAACTTACTAGTTGGATACCTTTGAGACAACTGTTTATCTTTTCTGAGACTCAGTCATCTGCAAAATACATAATATAAAACTTAAATGAAAAAGCATGCATAATAGCTACACAAAGAAAATTGTTGCTATTATTGTTGGCATCATAATTTCATTACTTGACAGCAAATACTGTGTGTGGTGGGGTAAGAGGTGTCTGCCTCACTTTTCCAGTCACTATGAATTTAGGGCCGTGTCAACCCAATATTTTCCATCTACCAAGAAACTCTCTTGGTGATTGATTGCAAGGAAAATTAAAACATGGAAACTCAATTTTAGAACCCACAAATGACCTTTAACCTTTCTATTTTATTAAATACCACTGGAAATTTTTTTGGTAAGTGATTACATTTTTCAGTTTTGTGATGCTTGTGATGGGTTTGTTGTTTTAACAAAGGCTTCTAAATCATACGTTGTTGGCATGTGCTAGCCTGAAGCACAAATATGTGGAAGTTACTATCTGCTGTATTCTAAATAAAAGCAAAGCTTATATATCCACTGGAAGATTAATTTACTCCATAAATCTTTACTGAACACTTATTTTTTGTGCAACAACTGGCTTATTGTTTCTTTCTCATACAGATTTGCCCACAATGTCCTTCACTTAGCACTTTTCCCTAGAGACAACATAGGTTGTCAGGAGTTTCACCTGGCTTGGTTGAACATTCATCACAGGCAGGGGAAGAAAACAGACCTTGTCATGGGAGGCAGAGAGAGTAGTGATCAGGCATCAGAGGTTAGACACAATGAATTTGATTTCATCTTCACTGCTTTATTACTGCTTTGTCTGCACAATTTTCTTACCTCTTTGTGCCTAAATTTTGTAATCTGTAAAATATGGAGTATATTATTTCTGTGACTATTCAGTAATAATCTGTATAGAATATTTAACATTTTCAACACATACTAAGTTCTCCACGCATGGATAGTTAACTACTTTTTATGTGGCCATGCAGGCATCTAGGTAGGGATTTTCCTTCACAAGTTTGTCAAAATTCACAATGAATGTCTGACATACTTGTTAATTTCTGGATTTCCAGTTTTTAGTTCAAAGAAGTTTAAATTATTTGATCATAATCAAAGAGCTAGTAGGTATCAGCGTGGCAATTCAAACCTAAGCCTGTGTTCTGGAATGAACCTTCCTCAATAAATGAATGGGCCAGAAGATCTCTCAAAAGGCATTTCCTTTTCTGGGATTATTTCCTCTTGGAAACACATCTTTCAGACAGGAATTTGAAAATTAGAGAATTGTGAATCAAGAAGGATCTCATAATTGGGATGTTAACTGAACAAAGCATGAAAGAGATCAAAAATAATTTTAACTTTGAACCAAACCAAAAAAGAAAGGCACAGAAGGGCATACTAAGAACCTCCATTTCTGAACACAAATATTTAGGAACTCTGTGAGCATTTAGGACTCCCTGAGTCCTTATAGAAGGACTCATTCACTATCCCTCATTTCAAAAACAACAAATCATCTGTAATCACAGAGGGGTCATTGATGTGGGTTTTCTATAGCACAGAAGCAATGCTGTTCCTGTTCTCAAAATTACCTTGATTCTTTCAGAAATATGAAACCAATGTTGGGTCCCAAGGGTCTCAACTCTCTCGAGGAGAGAAACAGCGCATCGCTATTGCTAGGGCCATTGTACGAGATCCCAAAATCTTGCTCCTAGACGAAGCTACTTCTGCCTTAGACACAGAAAGTGAAAAGGTGAGTATTGATTTTCTAAAGTCTTAGATCATTATAAATGAGCTTTTGGCTGCAATATTTGTCCTGATGACATGACACTATTTTCAATTTTCTGATTCATTAAGAGTGGAGATTGCCAAGACTTGGTGTACCCAAAAGACAATGAAAGTGATTTAAAGTAACATTGCATCAAATAAAAAAAATAAATTAAAAATAAGAATTGTTTTTAAGATTATTTAGGTTATGTGACATTTTTCCAAGGGCAAATAAATAGTTTTCTTAAGTAAAAGAAAATGACCTAGGTCATTTTTAGGGATTTCACATTGAATAGTACTAAAGAGTTTTAAAGTTATATGACAGAGCCATGGCGGGGGAGTGTGGAGAGGGGGCTGAGCAGCATACAAGTCAAAGAAAGAAGCAGTGCATGTCTGATGTGCACTTTGGGTGAAAGGAAATGCAATTAAACAAAACACAATTATGAGATTACAATTTATAATTACCGCTTTAAAAATCAGAATTCCATTTTCAAGAAATCTAATATGTCCCCAAATTAATATAAGAAGAATAGTATCAGCAATCTTTGGTTTCATTTTAGCAATCTAGATCATTGAGTACTGTACAATTATGTAGTGACCTCATGGTTTGGTTCATTTTGCTACACAAAAATTTCTCAACCTATGGGCTATAATTTAAATCTACGATGCATTGCATCCAGCGAATAGATGTTACTCTTCTCTCTCATGTGAAACTTTTAGGTTGCCCCTTAGAATGGCATTATCACTCAGGTGGTATGAACTCGTGTGCTAGTGGGCCACTTCAGCCTTCCATTTTCTCTTTTCAGACAGTTCAGGTTGCCCTGGACAAAGCCAGAGAAGGCCGGACCTGCATAGTCATTGCCCATCGTTTGTCAACCATCCAGAACTCAGATGTCATTGCTGTCATGTCTCAGGGGAAAGTGATTGAAATGGGGACCCATGAAGAACTAATGGCCCTGAAAAGAGCTTACTACAAACTAGCAACCACAGGAGCTCCCATCAGTTGACCTGACTCAAGAACTTTATGCACGGATGATGTATTAAATATAAGAGTGCTATAGGTTATTTTTTTCTTAAGGAGAAACATGGATATTTTACATTTACAGACATTGTTACTCATTGGGATCAAAGCTAATTGCTAATGTCCTTCAAAAGTAATTTTGTTTTAAATGTATATACAGAAAATTAAAACAACTAGGGTAGGGTGAGTGAAAATCTAAGGTAAAGAAGCACTAAGTCCACAAAACCCAGTGCTTTTTCCCATGCAGGAGATATTCCCATTATTTAAATAAAACAAAAGTTCATGAACATAAACATTTGAAAAGGAGGTCTTCATAAGTAACAGGACTGACATTTCTTTTCAAAATGTCTCACTACTAGGACATCTTCTCTCTACTCCATGCCATCCCAAATCCAGTCAATGTGCAAATTTTTTTCTTCTCATGGCAAACACGTGAAATTTTGCCTACAAATTAAGCCAGAACTGTTGTATATTGACCAGTGTTATTTATATCTCCACCCAGTGTTTTCTGGTAAATTAACATGAAGATAGTTTATCCAGTTAACTGGTTAGGTCAAAAAGTTGATGATTACCAAATCAGGTGGGGAGATGCATTCTAGTTAAGTTATAAAAAATTGTAGTGAAAAGTAAGTTTCTGAATAAGGAATTAACTTTGCAGGTAAGTAATACTGAAGAAAGAAAACCACTATCCATTTATTCTCATTTCCAGTTCAGAGAGGAAGAATATAAACTCTGCACTGCAAGGCTGCCAGTTTCCTGGCAGTGTACAAAAGGAAAGAATATGAGTTATATTTCAATGAAACTACTTGAAGCTTATTTACAAAAGGGAAAAGATTGAAGAGGGCTCGAAGTGACTTGGGGAAACTATTGCTTTTTGAGGCTTAGCAAGAAGGGAGAGGATTTCAACTTCAAAAACATAGAAAGAAAAAATAAGTTGCAAATTTATTTTATAGCACCAGGGAGTACTAATCTCTCCATTTTTACGCCCCACTCCATCCTCACTCACCAACAAAGACTTGGTCTCTGCAATTTTATATTAACTTTTCTCTGATGCCCAAGGGAATTAGTTAAGCTGTCTGACACTTATCTCAAGTTTTTCTGTAATTTTTAATCTTTTCAGGATGAGTTCATGATGTGAACAAACTTCCCCATTGCCCCACTTAATAAAACTTTACAAAAGGGAAAATAATTGAAGGATTAGAGAGAGAGAAAAATTTCTCAAAAGGTAGAAATTTCATATTGATAAAAAGGAGAAAAACTAAAAATTTAGAGAAACAATCCAGGAGGATTAATTATTATTTAGTAAGTTTAAGAAAGAGTAGTTTAGAGAAAATTGAAGGAAAGTATTTATTACATAGTCCAATAACACCTCTCACAATTAAAGGATATGAATTTCTAACTCAAAGGATTCACAGTGTGTCAAATATAATAAACAAACAAATATCCTAATTGGATCCACTAGTATGCAATCTTAGAAAACTAGGAAAAGGAGAATATAATAAAATTTTCCAGAAAGGGAGGGAGACGTGTTACATATAATAATCATAGACATTGGACCTCTTGGCAATAGTACTTAGAATTCAGAAGACAAAAATTGACTTTGAAAATTCAGAGAGACAATTGTTCCCATCCTGGAATTCTATATCCAGGACATTATTCTTAAGGAGAGTAGTCTAAAGAAATTCTCAGTCATACACAGTCTCAAATTTTTTGTTACCCAAGCATCTTTCTTCAGGAAGGCACAGAAGGAGGATTTCCCTAACACAAGAGACTAAAAAGGAAGCCACATCACCTAGGAAACAAGTGATCTAACAAAGGATTAAGGTGAGGGCACTCTCAGGGTGACTAGAAAGGGACATCCAGGATAACGGGGGTGCCATGATAAGTGGCCAGTCCCCCTTGAAATAAGAAATTGATGTATCAAGAGGGACCTCTCCAAGACAAACATGGTGCTGCTATATCACCTGACATGCCCCTGGTGGAGTATGGGTAGATGTAGATACACTGGGGAGAGTGAAAGGCGGGGAAATGAGTTTACTAGTTATTAGCTCTGTGGGAAAAGCAAACTTACACATGAACGGGAACACATCACACCACATGACTCACACAAGAATGTTATTTACAAAATCATATCAGTGTTGAATACTGCTGCAAATCAAAATTAGAGACAGGTTGTGGAAAAGGAGAGGGAAAATATAGGGGAAGTTGACCAGAGCTCCCTGTACATACTAAGAGCCTATGACCTTTGAGGAGGGACTTTGTCTAGTTCACCTTAGTATCTCTAGTACCTTACCCACTACTTGACATACAGCTCAATACACTAAATAATCATTTAAATTCACACAAATGGTCTATAATTTGTTAGTCCCAAGACAATTAACTCATTAAGTTGGAGCAATGCCTTGCAATGAAACATAATATGGGTCACTGATGGGAGCCATAAATGTAACTGTATATTTTCTAGCTAAAGAAAAGAAAAAAGAAACAGGTGAAATGAATAGTAGTCGTCTAAGTACATTTAAGCCAATATATAATAATATATATATATGATTAAGATACCTTTTCATTGATCTCATTTTTTTTATGAAGATTTCAAAATTAGATGTATATTTACACTTAGAATTCATATCTGTTCAGACTAGATATATGCTGATTTCTCAGTATTTACTGTGACTGGAGGTTACTATCTCAGATGAAGTGGGTCAGAGTATTTAGGTCCACAGATATCCTGGTCTCAAACTCCATTGTCCTGCCACAATTTGGGAATTATAAAAATAAGGGCCCAGCTTCTACCTTGAAAGGTGTCCTTACTCTGCACTAGGACATTGCAAGTCTCAAGGTAAAGATCATGGTGCCCTTGAGAAAGAAAAAGAGAACTTGGTAGACTCAAATATTACATCACAAACTACAAATAGAACACACTGGTCCTTCTCAGCAGTGGTTAAAAAGTATTCATTTTACTAGAATCATCTCTTTGAGTTGACAACCAAAAGTAAAATCAAGAGAAAAAATTCTTATTGGTTAAGCAAACCAATATAACTTCAAAACTACAATTTTCTTTAACTCCCCTGCCTCATTCGAGGCAATTTATAAGAATCATTTATTAATATTTTCTGTGAACTAATTTTATGCATAACTGAAGGAGCACAGTTACCCATTTTGGGGGAAGAAAAAAATGGGTCATTTGATGTATCTCAAAGCTGCTTGGAAGTTGATGCCCGCAAACCAGAAATGTTACTACTTGAGAAAACATTAGAAGAATTTGGTCTCTTAATTCCTTTATCCAAATGCTTTTTTCATACAGTTACCCCAAGACTACAATTTGCCATTACGACAAGACACAATAAAAAGACACTTGAATTTAGAGGTGCATTCATGCATGCAACTTTGAGTATATAAATCCTGAAATATTTTGAAATAGGAAAAAACATAGTGTTATAATTAGGTATAGTTTGACACGTATTCATGAATTAAATGTATATTTTCTACCCTAAGAAAATATCAGAACATTTTCATCAGGTTTATTTCCAACCAATGGTAGGATTAATTACTATCTTTTATGCACGCAGTTTCTCTGTAATCAGTTCACCTAATGATATTTGTGGAGTTTTAAAAAACTACAAAGTTGGCCCTCCCTGGTGGTGCAGCGAGTTAAAGCACTGCACTGAGAGGCTTAAGCCACTTCTGCATCAGTTCGATCCCCGCCTGCCCCGAGGAGATCCACATGGCTTGGCAGACCTCTCCTGACTGACCGCCCGCTGCTCCCCTCAGCGTCGATCTGCCTGTTCTGCTCCCCACTCTGTCCTTGGTGAATCCTCTCACCCTCCACATCTCTGGCCTGTACCCCAGTTCTGTATGAATAAATAAATAAATCTTTAAAAAAAAAAAAACTACAAATTTGGTTGCTATTTGCAAACTCAGTTTGAGAAAAATTTACAGATGCGTGTACAGCATTATAAAACAAGCATTATATCCATTTGTATTTGCTCTAAATTTCCAGATCAAGAGAATAATTTCACCTGTCTGTAAGAGATGGCGGTGAAAGTAACTTAAATTTCAAAACCCAATTCCAATTTCATTCACATTGTGTTCAATTAAATGCCCAATTAATTTAAATGGATAGACTGTAAATAAAGCAGTGCACATGATTATCGTCTAATTAGCACTGGCCAGCATTATAATGTGCTCATTAGTGAGCTGTATGGTATCCTAAGGCTCATCATGAGTAATCAGGGAACACATGATTGGCATGTAGCTGTTTGGATGCAACTACTCAACCCAATAAATCAGCACCAGAACAAAATGTGCAGTAGAAAAAGGAAGAAGAGTACATAGCCAGTTGGTGAATTGGCAATTCTCCCCTTCCTCTAATTCAGGTAGAGTTCCTACTCTAAACACAAAGAGATAAAGGCAAGCTGGAGACAGGAAAACATTCAGCAAGGTGACTCAGAACAAGTGCCTGCAATCCCTGGGAATGCTTGCAGGAAAAAAAGAAAATATTCTAAATGTATTGCCTGAGAGTACGTATTTTTAATATGTCAAGTATGAAATCAAAGAGATGAGCAATGTTTAGTAAAATTTCTTGAAAGTTAAAGATTCAATTAATCAGTTAAATATACCTCCTTGATAACATTTAGAAAACATTGTATAATTTAGAAGCATTTTGCCTTCCTGACTTTTGAATGTTCTTGAGAAACCACTTGCTGGCTGTGGGGAAGGAGTGTGGGCCTGAGGAACACCCGGGCAGTGCCTGAAGCTGACTCCCTGGACGCCCAGTCCTCCGCCTTTCTCCCTTGCTTGCCTCTGTTACAGAGGCTGGGAAGTGAAGTACTCACTTTCCCAGACTCCCTTCGCCAGCAAACCACAGGGGGACCTTGGGAACCTACACTTGCATTCTCTAAGGGGGCCTGTCCATCTGTATGCACAAAGGCAAAGGAGAATCATATTGTGAAAGAACCTTAATAGGGAAGAAAGAAAGATATTCTG